GCCCCCTCTAGGATTGAGCTCGCAACCCTGGGTTTAGCAGGCCAATGCTCAAACCACTGAGCTATCCCTCCCCCTACATAGACTCACTGACTGCAGGTTAACCTGGAGCCAACTGCTCCCTGAGGTCTCTGCAGGGAGCCGAGCCGAGCCCCTAGCCAGAGCAGGGCTGGGGGAGAGGGGGGGGTAACAACCATGGGGCTCGTGGGGGATGGGACAGGAGAGGGGTCACCAGGGCCCTACAGTAGCATGGCTGACGGGAGCCCTTGGGGTGGCCAGTCCGGACTGCATCTCTGGGCTACTGAGGGCTTGTTCCAGGCAACTGAGAAACCTGCTCTGGGGGGAAAGTCTCCTGGTGCCGGGGCCGATCCTGGCTGGGTGAGTTGGTCCCTGCAGAGCACACGAGGCTCCCTCAGAGCCCGGCTCAGAGGGACTCGCTGGCAGCGCTCGCAGGGGGAAGGGGGAGGGCTGGAGCCCCCCGGCTCTGTCAGGGGCTGTGTGGCCCACCTTTGTGAACGGACAGGACCTGGGGGTCTGGTGAACTGCACGGGGCGCTCCCGGGGACTGGTTACAGCAGGGCCCAGCCACGCGCCATCCACTCACAGTTCAACACCACGTTGGACAGCCCCTGGAAGACAGCGATGCCCATGCCCAGCTTCTCGTTCAGCCAGCTCGACCGATCCACCTCGTGGCAGTACAGGCTGCAAGGCAGGGGAGAGGCGGCGTCCCACACCAGGGCACCAGGGGTGGGGCTGGCAGCTGCAAGGCCTTCCTTACAGCACCTCCCCGCACAGCACCCCTGGTGCCTCAGGGAACCAGCCAGGGCCTGGGGGTGGCACCTCCCCGCACAGCGCCCCTAGTGCCTATGGGAACCAGCCAGGGCCTGGGGGTGGCACCTCCCCGCACAGCACCCCCTGGTGCCTACGGGAACCAGCCAGGGCGTGAGAGTGGCACCCCCCCGCACAGTGCCCCCTGGTGCCAGGCTGGGGGGCAGGAAGTGGGCCCAGATGGGAAGGAACAAGGTACAAGGGCCCAGCTTTGGGGTCTGGGCAGCAGGGAGCATGTGTGCGTGGGGCTGGCGGAAGTGGGGCGGGTGGGGACAAAGCCACTGCCCGGTACTTACGCCACCTCTCTGTCCTCCATGGCAAAGGCCCGCACGGTCCGCACGTTTCCCAGCGCCTCGTCTGCCACCCCCGTGGCCTTGGCCACCTGCAGAGACAGTCACAGGCCACCTTGCTCTGCAGGCACCGCCTGCCTGGCTGGCTGATGGGGGAGGTGCCATGGCCGGGGCATCTGCCACCTCAACGCTCCCTCCGTACCGGGGACCCACAAATGCACAGCCACCGTGTGCACCTGGCAGTCCTGGGGGCTGTATGTTACCGGCCCCTGGGCCTGGTGGCGGGGGGTGGGAGGGAAGGTGATGTTGCACTCCTTAATGTTTTATGGAAATACGCTTATGAGTGGGCATATGATGTAACTGGAATATGCTTTATGGAAAAGGTCTCGTAAGGTATCATTACAAAGGTTATTACCTACTGAATACATTCCTCCTATTTGTATGTATGTAGGGGATTGGACTAGATACCTCCTGAGGTCTCTCCCAACCCTAATCTTCTAGGATTCTTGTATCTGAAGCTAGAAATATGAAGTATTACTCTGGGGTCCTAGTGTAATTATGCAAAGTGTGGGCCATTAATGGTGGTTTCGAATCTTGATGGCTCCCATTGACTAGGGTCATTGGTTGTAGATGGTTTATTTACCTGCAGGCCTTCCTGTGTACGCATGGGCCAGCCCATGGGGAATGAAAAATAAAGTCTCACAAGACATATGATCATGTCACATGATACTGGAATCCATCTTAAATCTGGTACTTTTCCATTTAGAAGGAGGGGTGGGGACCCAGAGAGACAAAAGATTCCCACCTTGGGCCAAAGCTATAAAAGGGGGTGGAACAGAACAAAGGGGGCCAGTCATGAGAACACCCCTAATTTTGACCTAACATGTCTGCTGGAACTAACAAGGACTGTACCAGGGGAAAGGACTGGGCCCAGACTAGGAAGGAGTCTAGTCTGTGAAAGCAGCTTATTGGAACATCTCCAAGGGTGAGATTTACCTGTAAACAGTTTCTTAACGTATTAGGCTTAGACTTGCAGGTTTTGGTTTATTTTGCTTGGTAATTTACTTTGTTCTCTGTGTTATTACTTGAGACCACTTAAATCCTACTTTTTATACTTAATAAAATCACGTTTGTTTAATATTAAACTCAGTGTAAGTGATTATACCTGGGGGAGCAAACAGCTGTGCATATCAGTGTTCTAGAGGGCAGACAATTTATGAGCTTAGCCTGGCTAAGCTTTATGCAGAGTAAAAGGGATTTATTTGGGGTTTAGATCCATTGGGAGCTGGGTGTCTGGGTGCTGGAGACAGACAGGCTAAGCTGTTTTCAGTTAAACCTGCAGCTTTGGGGGCGTGGCCCAGACCCTGGGTCGGGTTGCAGCAGGCTGGCGTGTCTGGCTCCACAAGGCAGGGTTCTGGAGTCCCGAGCTGGCAGGGAAAACGGGCTCAGAGGTAACTTCAGCACGTCAAGTGATAGTCCCAAGGGGGTCTCTGTGACTGAACACGTCACAGGGGGTGTTACCTGTTCCTGGGCCTGGCGGGATAGGCTGCGCAGGACGGAACCAATCAGGGCACCGGCGCCCACCAGGCTGGGCATCACCACCAGCAGGAGCCCGGTCAGCTTGGGCGAGAGCAGGTAGAGCGAGGCGAAGCAGCCCACAGTCTGCGTGACGCTGCGCAGGCCCTGGAGGCAGAGACTCAGTCAGCGGGATCCCGCGTGGCCCCCAGGCCCTCCCAGCAGTGCCAGGAGACACCAAAGGTGGGGCTCATGTGGGCACTCAGCACCCAGGGTGGCTGGGAGAGGACGGGGCTGCCCGGGGGGGGGACACCCAGGGCTGCTCCGATTGGCCTCACCTGGGAGATGACGAGTTTGAAGGAGGATTTGAACTCCTGGATGTCGGTCGTGAGCCGATTCACCAGCTGCCCTGTCCGGTTGGCATCAAAGAACGCCACGTCCTGCCTGTGGGGGGCAGACAGGAGCTGGGGGGCGGGGCCTGCAGGAGCTGCTGCCTCCAACCCCCCCACCCTTCCAGCCCCACTAACCACCCCAAACCCCCTTCCTCCCAAGCAACCCCAGTCATTCCCCCACCCCTTGCTCCCCAAACATACCCCCCCCACTGCAGCCACTTGCCCCCCGCCCCCCCCCCCAAGCCCACTCCTACCCTTTCCCCTGCAGGCATCACCCCCCCCAACCCCCGAGTGGGAGGATTTACCGCAGCAGGGATGCGAAGAGGGACTTGCGCATGCTGCCGGCCACCCGCTCCCCGACCCGCGCCAGCAGCACGATGTAGCCGAAGGTCAGCAGCCCCTGGGGATGGAGGAATGGCCACAGCAGGTCAGCCCCGAGGCCAGCCCAGCGCCCCGCCCAACAGCGCCTGCGGGAGCCCCACCGCCGCAGATCTGGGGTGACCAGCCCCTCCTGGAGTCTCATCCCAACCACAGCAGGCAGGGACCAGCAGCGGCTTTCACATCCCTGCCACACAGGTGGTGCCAGGACTTAAAACATTCCTGGGTGTTGCACCCTGCGCGGGACTAGTGCAGAGCCCTGCTGCGGGGCTGGGATCCCGCGGGCCCCGCTGACATACTAGCGGAGAGGGATTAAACCACAGTCCCGCCCAGGGCTCTACCTGGGTATTTTTGGTACCTCCATAAACCTCCTCTCTGAATCTTCCTCAGGCCCTGGCCTCAACAACCTCCTGTGGCAGAGAGTTCCACAGTCCAATCGCACATTGTGCGACTGTATTTCCTCGGACCAGTTTGGAACGTCCCACCATTTAATTTCATGGACTAGCCCCTTGTGTTATGAGTCAGGGAGCACTGCCAGGCATGATCCCACTGATCTAGGCCAGTCGTTATTTTATAGACTTCTCACGCCGCCTCTCTACGGTAACAATCCCAGTCATTCCAATCTCTCTTTGTGACAGAGCGTTTCCAGGTCCGGGGTCATCTCTGTGGCCCTTGTCTGAAACCCCTCCAACTCTGCATATCCCGCCTGGGACAGAGCGGCCGTGCTGCACACAGGATCTGGATGAGGCTGTGCCATTGGCTTATAAAAAGGCATTCGAATAGTCTCTGTTATTCACCACTCTAGTCCTTAAGCATCCCAGCATCACCTCAGCTGTGCACTGAGCAGAGATCTCCACTGAGCTGTCGGCAGTGACGCCCAGATCCCTTTCCCGGGCTGACACAGTTAATGTCGAGCCCCGTCAGGTGGACAAGTCCTTGGTACACCTCTACCTCGACATAACGCTGTCCTCGGGAGCCAAAAAATCTTACTGTGTTATAGGTGAAACCGCGTTATATCGAACTTGCTTTGATCCACCGGAGTGCGCAGCCCCCCCGGAGCACTGCTTTACTGCGTTATATCCGAATTCATGTTCTGTCGGGTCGTGTTCTATCGGGGTAGAGGTGTATTTTCCCCTCCAATGCGCATTACTTAGTATTTATCAACAGTGAACTTCACTGGCTGTCCTGCAGCCCTTTCACCCAGCTGGGTTTGGGATCTCTG